ACTGTTACGACAACATCTCAAGGTCCAGAACGGACTATGATGGTGCCGATGATAAAGACAACTAGCTGCAGAGAGCTGGTAGTGAAGACTGATAAATCAGCGACGAGGATCTGAGAGGGAAGGCGACATGTCAGTTAACGCCGCCGATTACGCTCTACGATAACTTATCGACCGGCGACTCGAAAACTATATATGATCAACCGCTACGACTCGTAGCGATGATTGTCGTGGTGCCCTTGACGCAGAACGTATACACGGCGTTTGGCTCTCAGCGGCAGTGTTTGCACCTAAAGATCAGAATAAAGTGGTGCATCTCGCACGGTAGAGAGAAACGCAATTCAGCTTTGTGGAAGCAGTTGACGGCGTCGCCCCGGACTCGATCTCACCGCAGCATTCTTCTGGTTGAAGAAGTGTATTGAATTGGCTCAACGGCTTCTTGAGATAACTAACCCCGTACGTGTACTATCTACAGCGATGGCGGCGTTCGTCCGCGACACGATCAATATGAAGAGCCATTGTAAATTGATAGTGGAAAAAGATCGAAACTTCACTAAATAGGCAAGGAATAACCGTGAAAGCGCACACCATTCGCGAGCATCTCCGGTTGCTAGTGACAGCTCACCGATTTGAAGAGAGCACAAGAGATCTGGATCAACTCGGGTTGTCTGAGAGACAGCAGCTTTTGAGAACGTATTGCAAGAAAATGGAGGACGAAGAACAGCACACTCAAGACACTACCGACGATCAGTCCTTCGAGCCAGTGCCTGAATCAGATGCCCAAGACAACGACGTCGTCGCTACAGCTAACCAGCCAGTAGAAGTAGCTGCCACTTCACCGGCTAGTCGAAGTCCATCCCGTACTCGAACTCGTGAGGTTATCATCACCTCAGAGATAACTTCAGCGCCCAGAGCCTCTGTAGTCCAACCTCCACTATTTGCTGAAGAAAGGGAAGTCGAGGAACCTGCGACGAAAAGGCAGAAGCTGGAGCTGGACACAATTCTGGAGCGCTTTTTAGCTGACCAGAAGGAACGTCAACAAGAGCAAATCGAGCACGAGCGCACGAGACTGAGCGAACAACAAGAGTTGCAGCGCCAGACGGTTGACTTACAAAAGCGAGCACTGGATATTCAAGAGAAGGCGATGAACATGCAGGAGCGGCTCATGGCTTTGATGGAGAAGGTGATGGATAAGCTTAGTTGAGGACCCATGCAGCATGCGTGATACATGCGCAAAATTTCGCGCAATGGTAATTCGGTATTCTACATATCTTTTTTTCTTTCGTTATTACTTGCTAGTTAACCATAATGGACTGTCCGAATAACAAATATGCTTACCAACATCCATGAGGACCGACGACACCGGTCCGCCAAGGACGCGGCATCATTTTCTGGTTTAGACTCTCAACATCGCCCGGAGATATTTGCTGTACTTACCACAGCATGCAAATTTTGCACCATTTGTCCGCGACCCCAAGGTCGAGGCAAAGCGAAAGAGAGCCACAGATGTGTAGTTCTTCGGGCCCGCCGTCCGTACAAACAACTAACTGTAGACGCCACTATAAAATCTGCCGCCGACACTTTTAGTACACTATTCAGCAGCATCAGATGAAGAAACACAGCGAGCGATGTCGGACTCTCCAGAGCTTGAATAAGGCCTGCCTACGGGTTTCTCGATAGTCCGTATTTAAATAGTTGGCTGGAAGTAAGTAGTGTCGCCAACCTTTAATTAACGTTTCGCGTGAGGCTATTCAGCGTCTCCTCTCAATTGACAACTGAGGATTCCTCCTCTTATACTTGCTTATGCTAAAGAATTTATGATTCCTCTGAGGGATCATAAATGGGGATTCCCTCTGCATTCATTTATTCACTTGGATCTAATAAGCTAATAGGGAGAATCCGAAAAAAAATCCTCAATTAGGAGGCCTGAGCATAATATACTACTTTCTAATATTAATACATGTAGCAGTTTAAAACTTTCCACTTTCAATGATGAAAAAGAATCCCAAGGTGAATTATTCGGAATAATGATAGAGATATTGAGGATACTACAAAATCATGAATCCTATCCAAATATTTTGATCGACATAATCGAGACTGCAAAATGTTGAGTCGTGGCTACGATTGCGCTTACAGGGTGTGATCAGAAAATATTAGAATACTCCACAACAAGCGCCAGGTAATGTAATCCCGGGTATGGCATTACAATGCACAAAACATAGACTGCAGCCTACTTTAATCTAAACCGTTCTGTTGTTTCGCGTGTCTGGGACCGCGGCATAAAGTCCATGGGGGGAGCGCGTAGCCACAATGGTCAAGTCGGGAAGCACGCGCGTGGTAGGACGAAGAAAACCGAGTAGAGTTTTGTAGCTGTATTGCGGAAATACCTGCAAAACCACCGTGAGAACCACCGTGCAATCCAGCTCGCGTCTAACTGCAGACCCTACATGATGCAACAGTTGCTAAAGCAAGGGTGGTATCTACGTCGTGCGTTGAGGCAACTACTGCAACGGCCCTGTACGCTATGGAGCAGGTAATGAAGTGCGCGGGACGAAAGACTATCGCCAGAGTCATTTGAGCAAGGACAAGCTCTTGCGAGGTGGTGATCTGCGGGAATCGCTGTACTGTGACCATCTAACTCGTGTCACTGCGCAGCTGGCTGTCGCGACGCTCTCAATTGCTGTACAAACTCATGACTCACATGAGGCTACAGTAGATGTTGCAGATTCCTCTTTCGATTTCGATCCATTTTTCTAGATGTAACGTGACGGAGCATGTACGCCAACGAACGATATTTTTGTATTGTTTGTAGACTACGGAAGCAACATCAGCAAATCTTTTAATACCCCGAAGATCGAGGCGGAGCGCTGTGCATTTTTTTTTT